AGCCCTACCAAGAAGGACTTGGGGGGACTGATGGATTAAAAGCTGGACATGAGCCGACAATGCACACTCACAGCCCAGAAAGCCAACCGTCTCCTGGGCTGCATCAGGAGAAGCGTGGCCAGCACATCGAGGGAAGCGATTCTGCCCCTCTACTCTGCCCTGGTGAGACCCCACCTGGAGCCCTGTGTCCAGCTCTGGAGCCCTCAGCCCAGGAAGAACATGGAAATGTTGAAGCAGGTCAAGAGGAGGGCCACAAAAATTATCGGAGGGCTGAATCACTTCTCTTATGAGGACAGGCTGAGAGAGTTGGGGTTGTCCAGCCTGGAGAAGAGAAGGCTGTGGGGAGGCCTTATTGAGGCCTTTCAGTACTTATGGGGGGGGTGTCTATAGGAAAGATGGGGACAATCTTTTTCGCAAGGCATGCTGTGACAGGACGAGGGATAATGGTTTTAAACTAAAAGAGGGTATATTTAGACTAGATATAAGGAAGAATTTTTTTACAATGAGGGTGGTGAAATACTGGAACTGGTTGCCCAGAGAGGTAGTGGAGGCCCTATCCCTAGAAACATTCAAGGCCACATTGGATGGGGCTCTGAGCAACCTGCTCACTGCAGGGGGATTGGACCTCTAAGGGTCCCTTCCAACCCAAACCACTCTATGATTCTATGATTCAGTAGAAACTGTCAGCACAGTCAAGGGAGACCAGGGTACCACGCAGATCATCTTAAAGTACACATATAAATAGGTTAGACTAATCCCTGCTTTTTTCCCTCCCTTCTGTCAATAAAGCATGGGGAGTGACTAGCTCAGCTATGGATGCTTATGCTGTAGATGTCCCAAGTCAGTAAAATGAATCCTACATTTGGTCTTTTTTGTGCCCATTAAGAAAAGATTTTAAAAAATATTTTCTTTAAAAACATAGAAGAAAGGGGTCTATTCAGCAGGCACCCACCAAATAGGTCTCATCAGGCACATCGAACGACAACTCTGCAGTTACTGCTTTCACTACAACTCCAGTGACTGAGGCTCCTATCAGACTCCTAGGGATCACTTGGTGTCTCTTTGCTTAGCTCAGGCATTGCTGTGACAAATCAGTACTACCAATGCACTAGTAACTTGGTGCTAATTATAATACAGCTGTGAAATCTAGCCGCAAGATTCAATTTGTTTAAAGTTCAACCATTAATCTTAGGTAAGTAGGATCTTTTAAAAGTGCTATTTCCTAATCTTGAGGAATATTCTGAATATAGCACAAAGGGACACTGACTGGCTCTGGTAGGGACAGCATGTAGATTTATTTTGCTAGAATTAGAACCTATTTGTCCATACAAACCCTGAGGTGACTAGTTTTGGGGGTAGGGGAAGTCAGTTAGGAATACGAGGTCTACATAGGGCTGATCTTCAGCTTACCCTCCTCAGAAATTAATAATTGTATGAATTTTCTAGCTTTCAGAAATCATTCTTAGTACTCTATAAAATGTCTATCTGCAGTACTTGTGCAAACAGTTGCATTGGTCCACTAAATATCTTTTATTTTAGTTGAATTAAGTTTTACTACATAACTTCCTTTAATCTAGGGCATTTCAGTAAGGATTATGCAAAACTCTTAACCCTATTAATATTTGAACAGGTTCAATAGTTAAAGCCTTGGCAACCTATTTTGACCACAAGATACGGAGATTCCTTTTTAGAGATGCGATTACTGTTACCCTCATGGTAAGTCTTGTCCTGAAACTCTGAGGAGAAGGAAAGGGTAGGACCGCATGAATAGGTCTAGCCAGAAGCCAAGTTTCAGGCAGCTGCTTCCTGCAAAAATCCAGGGGGTGCAACCATCCTACTGACCTGTTCAAGTATGACCACTTGGACCTAAGGCAGTCATCTGAGAAAAACTGAGAATGCAGAAAACGGTAAATCCACAATGGCAATAAGAATGTTAGTATTCAAGAAAACAGTTATTTCCTCTCTTCCTGCCCAGGCAGACAGTGCTGGCAGGCTTCACATTGCCTGATTGCTTCATAGCTCACAGCATGGGATGAGTAGGGGGTGAGAAGGACTCACAATAAGGAGTTGAGGCCACGGTCACTGTTTCCAGAACGTATACAAGATTTCACTGCCCAGAACTAATCTTCTGGAGTGCATCCATGCATGTGTGAAACTGTGGAGGAGACCAAGATGGGACTGAATTGCCACCAAGCAGTTGAATTATCTTCAGTAGTTATGTTCTCTCAGGTCAGCTTTGCTTAGAAATGATCTATTCAAAAATGTGTATAGATGCTCAGCAGAAATTTTATTTTTTTTTTTTTAAATCTGACATTACTGCAGGGTTTTTGCCCTAGACCTTTGCCCCAAACAGCTTGGTTGATCAGGAAAAGAAAATCTGTAATTCTAAGAATGCTTCTATGTCTCTGAAGACTTTGTTTTCTCCTGTGTCATATAGATGGATTCATACTAGCCCTCCACTCTTCACTTGCAATATGTAATGAACAACTTGTTCCTAGAATAAGAACATGTTTGTATGTTTTGAGCAAAGAAATCACCACTTAAAGAAATATGTATGCCCAGTATGTAATTGAAAGCTTCATAGCTGTGTAAAACCTAAAGCCATGTGTTTGTTTAAACGATGGAAACAACAATAAACTCAGACTGCCCTGGCTCAGCAACAACTGGAGGGCACCCTTTTGTATGAATAAAGACTCAAGAACTAGTGAATTGGTTTACACAAGCAAGCCCACCAGCTCATTAGCTTTGCTTAAAGTAGACAACAGTGTATTCTTTGGAAAGTCTGCAAAAATAAGGCAATTATTGGGTCTAACCCTTGGATTTGTTTAAGGCCTGCTGCCAAGAAGTTTCAGTGCATACCTTCAGTTTTCCACTTTTGATAAATAATGAATAATAATTTATTATTCACTGTCAAAGTTCTATTCATACTGCTTTTGCCTCCAAAAGTTCCTTTTCCAATCTGAAAAAAAATCTGTTTTAATCTTTTCTTGAAAGAAAAAAGCTTTTTACAAATCTTCCCATCTTTGACAGCGTGCTCTGCATCCTCCTTTCACCTGCCTCTGAGACAGAATATCTGCCATCAAGACAGAATGAATGATTGTCATTCCAGAGGTGTCAGGACAGGCTCAAAGCAAAAGCTTTCAAAGCTGAAGGCAAAATGTTGGATTAATACATATAATAGAAATAGGAAATAGAAACAAGATTTGAACAATGGCCTTGCCTAAACAAGGAGGATTGTATGAAAGGCCTTGGCTAAAGTCCTGGCAAAAAAACCTGTCAAAAATGACACATCTTTCTCCTGTGGCAGTATTTCAATATCTTAGCTACTAGTGTAATCCCTGGGACAGATTAAACTGGCTTGGCTTTCACATATACTCTATTGGCTACACCTGACCAGTTCTTTTCAGCTAAATCATAAATCCTGGGAGGCCAATATAAGATAAGTAACTACAAAAAGAAAGCCGACTATTAAAGAGTGCATAAATTCGCTATAGTAGGGACCACTCTGCATAAGAAAGTCTCGCTCCGGTGTCCATACATCAAAAAAAGGTTGAAAAGTAGGTTTAGGTTGGGCTCTTCCTGAGAAGGAATAAATGATGGCAAGAGGTCCACCAGAAATTAGTTATCTGTAGTTTTTTTTAAATGGTGATTGTGGCACGCAGCTGACAGGGTGGCCTTCTAGCAACTGTGGTCTCCATAAATGCACAAAGACAGGTAGTTTCACACAACTGATGCTCCATTCGAAGTCCTCCAAGACATTCCTCTTCATGAAGGCAAGACAATTAAAAAAAAAACGTTTCCACCACTCATATATAACACATCAGTGGATTGGCCCTGGCTGTTTAAAACAAAACAGCCGAAACTATTCAAAGATATGAGCCTTTGCTCCCTCTCACCTCCAAGCTGCATGTCTGCAGAACAGGAGAGGGTAGGTGTCTTTTCTTCTTTGAAAAATCATGATTTTCACTCTTCCATACAACATGGGTAATTCTGAAAATGCCAGGTATGCGCTCACTCTCCACAAGGATAATATTGGTTCAGTGAAATAAGTCTTCGTGGAAAAACACTTTCATCCAGACCAGTTTGCATGCATCCTGCCCAAATATCATTACATCTGTGGAAAAGCTGTTCTTCCATAAGGTGAAAGAATGTCTGACACAGCCAGAAAAATCCACTGGATGGGAAGATGAAGTTAGTGAAAGTAAAAGGAGAAAAAAAAAATCCAAAGTGTAATAGCTAATCTTTAGCAGAAATGTTCTTTGATGTTTATGAATACTTGGCATCATCTATAGCCGAGCAAAAGCAAATGATTGGTTGTAGTTTTTTAATTCTGGGCCAAGAAGTAGATTACTGTGGTATTTTGGAAGGCTAAACCATTTTGATACCAGCTCTGCCATTTACAGACATTTGTGGAATCAGAATATACAAATTCCTGACAAGACAGCAGGTATTTTCTTTTGTCAGCTTTGGGACTGACTAGACAGTCTTGGAGGCCTAATGAAAGCGATTCCAGATTGCGAGTGTGACTGAGTCTTTAACATCAGTTCCTCAAGAGATCAACTCAACTGAAGGATTAAATTTAGGACTGAAACAGCTGCTAATACTTGGATCTTCCCTTCCCTCCAACCTCTTTTTCCCCACCAGGGATCAGCGAAGGCAGATCATTTACCACCTATAAACCAGAAGTTAATGGTCTTAAACCTTATCTGCCCAGACAGTTGACATATTTACAGAAGGGGGACGGGAGGGATGAAGGTTGCTTTAAACAAAACAATAAACAGTAAACTTAAAAAGGTAAGTACATCCTTCAGAAGGGAGACTAAGACGGCACAGCTGTTGTAGCTACCCCTGCACCCCCTCTTTATGTTAAGGGGATAACAGGAGTGGGGGTGCTCTATAAATGAGGATGACACACACACAGCCTAGAAATACATTAAGTAGTAAGCTTTGGAATCATGTTCAAAAAAAAATAATGGTTTGGAGTTCCTAATATCACACCCATCTCACGAAGTGCAAGAATACTTTTACACAGTGAAGTTTAATCAAGCAGCTATTTTTATTTATTGGTTCTGCTTTCACTGCATAAAACTGGAGTAAAAATAGGCCTATTTGTCAACCCAGAGAAAATAATTGTAATTTTACTCACTGGACTGCTACCAGATGCTTTTACAGTTTGGAGCTGAGTTTATACTCTCAAAATTTTAACTAAATTACAATTTTTACAAGTACTACAGCAGCTATTGGAGCTCTAGCCATGAATTCCTACTGTTCCCCCAAGTGCAACACACTTAACATTTTCTTTCAGATCAGAATTGTCTTGGGTTAGAAAAATATTTCTAATACCCCCATAAACCTGTCCAACTTATTACTCTTTGAAAACCCCTACAGTAAGTTCTCGGAAGACAAAACGGCAACTAGCTATTAAAAAAAAGTCCCATTATACCTGTTGCAATTTAAAGCAGAACTTGGGGAAGTACATTGAGTATATCAGTATACATATAACTAGAACGCATATTTTTACAGCTTTCATTTTCTGAACTACTTATTGATTTTTTGGATGGCTCTTTCAAAATCAGATTATCGCATTCTCTTGAACAGTAATTCTCATTCACCACCATCTGCTTTAGAAGCACGTCAGGCAGATTAGCTGCATGTTTCTGCTGTTAGTATATGACATCTAATAAAGCCTAATAATCACTACTTAGCTTTTTCAGAAACAGGTTTAAAGCTTCTTTTTTATGCCATCAGTCTAATAACTGTATTTATAGAGATAATTTTTAAAAAAGTGAAATTTAAGTACCTTTCCTTAATTGACATAGTTTTGCTAGAATTATCAAGGACATCCTCAGTCGTTTGTGCTTTGTTCTCTCCAACAGAAAACATCTCACAGGAATTCTTATTAAATTTGCCTTCCAATTGTTCAGAGAGCTCCTGTAGTCTACAGGATGCTGCAGCTGCAGTTTGTGAAGCTGTCCTCATTGCTGATGTGCTGGTGAGTTCAGAAGTAGGTTCAGCGTGGTCTGCCCATTCAAAAGAGAAGTGCTGAATTAGAGTTAGCGCTATTCTCAAACATATTTTACATTACTAACACTGAAGCTGCAAATGTGTTTTTTAACATTCAAATCACATGCTATCATAACAGTGAAAAATTTCTGGCTGAGCTAGAGTACAAAGACTAATGCAATATTATCTGCTGCATAGAACTGCCATTTGTGACTGAAGTTCATATGAACCCACAGAATATCATGTTTAATACACAATTCTGAACTTCATATGGATGAGGCACAAACTGCTGCTCCTGTCATCACACCAGCAGGAAAACAAATGGACAGATGAATGTGAGAGGGGAACACAGAGTAGGGGAAGAGAAGCAGACAAAATTTAGATAAGAAATTAACTTATTGGTAAAGCAGCTTAATGCATAAGTAGCATACTAGGAGGACAGTTAATAGCTTAATGAATATATTATTTTCTAGGAGGGTGTTGGAGGCTTTTTTGTTTTTTCAAGCAGCAATTAAACCACTAGAAAAACTGCCCTGATGAAAGATAAATGCACCATTACAGCTATCCTTAAGGAAATATAAGTGATTGTCATTTTTCTTTTTGAAAGTTTACAAGCACAACACACTTCTGATACACAACTGCTCCTGTTTATTCCAGTCTCTGTCTCCCTGCAGTCATCGAAAGTTAATTGGATAGAAAAGACACTGCTTTTGGGGAATACAGGCGGAACTATACCTTCCTCCCTACACTTGTTTGAAGACCATTAAATTCAAAATAAATTAACTTCACAGAATGAAGACAAAAGTGCCTCTAGCACTACATGGTACAGTGATCCTGTACCCCATCATCTTAAAACAGAAAACTAATACAACATCCTTCTAAATTCAACAGAATAGAAGGCTTTATGCCATGACCAAATTGACTGATTATTTCCAAGCACTTTATTTATAGATGGCTGAGTTTACTTATAAAGTTTGAATGATGTTTTGCCTACAGAAATGTAATTGCTCTGAGAATTATTTGGTTTATATTTTGCCACCACATTGAAGAGAAAATAACAGCAAGTTTTGCAAAATTAGTTATCTGAAAATTATTCACTACTAGCTATACATGTACATATGTAATTAATACATAACCATACGTGCACAAGAAGGCAGCAATTAAGAGCAGACACTTCACTCAGACCAGCAAATTTAAGCTCGTTCAGCATTTTGGAGGGCAGGGGCAAGGGCAAAAGAGGAAAGGAAAAATCTTAGCTTCAGCACATAATATCACTTCTTTCAAAGTAAGAAAATCTGAATAAAATTGAGCCATCTTTAAAGGCTGAAGAATTGAAAGAATAACAAAGAGAAAACTGTATTCGTCAAACTTAAGATTTCACAGGTATTTCTCTACCTTTAAGCAGTGTTAAAAAAAGGTAAAATAACCAGCCTTGATTAATGCTTGAAATGAAGACCTTTAGAACTATAGAGACACCATTGTTTGCTGAACAAGACTACACCAAAAGTAGGTATATACTGCACCTCTTTGCAAAGTCTTGCTTTTCATAACACTTTCCAAATTCATCTTTTCTTCAAAGGACTGGGCTTCTTCGACTTCCCATTTACCTTGCATGCGAGTATCAATTTCCTTCTGTTCAAGAGGCTGAAAAAGTGCTTGTGAACTAAACAGTTCCATGCTGCCCTTCCTCAGGAAGTTGTATGTTGTCTCTTTATGGTAGTCTCCTGTTTTTTCAGGAACAGGATGTGTTGTTTCTTCCTCAAAGGAGCTGTACTTTGTAATTTCATTAGATTCATGTGCTAGAAACCTTTTTCTCTCTTCTTCATGCTTCTTTGAAGCTCTGTTGCTTTCTAGTGCTTCCATCGAGGGCTGCCACTGTTCCGACTTCTGTGTGCGTTTTCCTGAAGAGTCCGAGTTTTCTGCTGAAGAGTGGAATCTCAAATCAGCTCTAGTGGCAGTGCTCATGCTTCCATCACTAGCTGGCTTTGCATGCAGGTCTCCAGCATACAGTGGAGAAAGGGCAGATGCCATCGTTGAAACTGATGTTGCAACTGCAGTTGACAGGGGAGTAATTTTTCCACTTTCACTTTGTACCTATGATGGGCAGAAAAAAAAAAAAAAAAGAAGAAAAAAGGGGACTTAAAAGCTCTGAAATCATAAATTCCCGAAAACAGTCTAATTGGTCAGTTCTTCAGAGGTGTCCTTATGTATGAATATAGTGCTCTAATATTATAGATTAGAAACAGATAAGGAGAGCAACCATGCCCCCATCATTTGGCTGCAGATGGATTATTCCACCCAGGGAAGAAACAACTGCATGTGGACAGCAACATCTTTAGTAATAAAGGGTTTATGTGTAGCATGCAACATGACGGCGTGTCAGGGCTCCAGAAGAGTTTCACGCTGACATGGTACTGTGCAGCACTGGGGAAAGGAATTAGCTCAGGTTCCAGACACCGGATGACATGCCACGTGCCCAGGCTAATCAACTCTGCATCTCAGCAGGGCTAATTAGCTTTGGCACAGCTCTGCTCTGATAGGGTTATGCAGCTTCCAGCTCTGGAGCTAGCTCAGTGCCAGAGAGAGACTCTGCTCCGTGCTGTCCTACATAGGGCAGACATTCCTGACGCTTCTGCCACATAAATCACCCCCACGCAGGACTGTTCATCTAAGACTTTTTCAAATATCAAACATTGGCTGCCACATGCATCTTTGAGCAAAGTATTTGAATCTAAGCAGCATATTAAAAAAACCTTCAAATTTGCTTTGCCGGCCTCTACAGTGTTTCTGTAGAAACTGTGTCTACTAGTTTTTCTGAAATGCAGAGCTTGGCTTTGCCTTCTCCAAAGGAGAAAAAAAGCTATGAAAGAGACTGACAAACATGCCTTCATACACATCAGGAGAGGTATTCTGTCTGGCTTTTTGTTGTTTTCTTAAACTGCAGGGCTAGTGAACAGCATGCAAAAGGAAGAGACAAAATCACACCAGTAGGAGGAAATCAACTGAAAATTTAAAATGCACATGCAAATTCCATAAAGCATAGACAACACAGTCATTCATTAAACAAATTGGAAAGCAGAGCGAAGACTAGTACACTAGCTCAAAGATTCCAAAGAAAGATTAAAGAAAATAGTTACCAGTTTACTCTTTTTCCATTGCATCTATCAGAATTAGAAATTTAGAGGAGATCAGCAAAGGAATTTCAGCTTTAATTACAAGATATTTACATTTCCAGTTATGTATTTTGGTAACGTAACCTCTACTTATCTTTCTTTTGTTTCTTCCTAGAAAAACTGTAACTGCATCTCAAAACATCCCAACACTCCATTATAGAAAGTCTTTTTGAAAATACACTCCCATTGAGCTTGGTTCAGAGTCAACTCTGGGTTTTTTTGCTAGGTTCAGAAAGAGATGACAAAACGTGCTTCCTCTGCATTTCCTTGCTTGAAAAGCAAATTTGTCCTGTAAAAGTCTGACAAACTAATGTGACTGTCACTGGCCTCTTTACCATCTGCTTCAGCCCATTTCTGTTGATCACCTTCCTGGCCTCCAAATAAGCTAGTGACACAATCGTTAAAAAATCCAGGTTGTGACAATGGTTGGCATGCAGAAAACGAATGGAAAGAGGACTATGTAAGGTCTGGAAATCTTGCTAAAATATATTTACCAAATATTTACTACTGCTTTATGCCTAAGTAGAGTAGGCATAAAGTACCATTATCTACCTGTACAGCTTTGCACCAATATGGTTAGAGAAATCCTGCCTTCTTGCTATTCTATTATTCTAAAACTGAAAAAAGATAATAATGAGTAAAGCATATAGAAAGAGAAGGTAAGGAACTTTCTAACACAGATTCCCTAGAAATATGCCATGCATAGAAGTTGTGCTTCACTGTTAAAGTGATTTCTTTTAAAGCTGTAATACTAAGGGACTGATGTTTCTGCTATTGTGAACATCAGCTCTGAAAGACCACTGCTGGGCCATCTTTTGCTCAACTTCACTAAAAAGGCACTCCTTTGCAATTCCAATTATATCAAGGATTCCAGAACAGGAAGCCCAATTCCACTGCACATATTAAATAATTTCATTTTGACCACAACTTTCTGAATTTCCGAAGTACTCTGCTTCTAGGGGGAAAAAATAAAAATAAAAATCAATGGCCCCTCCAAGACGAAAAATGACAGAATATGTCCCAGTAACAGAAATATATAGTGCTTTCAGGAATGAGTCTGAAAGTTGCACATGACAAAGCTCCAAAATTCCCTGAAAATACATCTAAAGCATGATGATACATGTCACAGTTTTTACCCCTTTGGTCAGGAATTTACTTTTAGAAGACATGTAACATTCAGCCGGAAAAGACAGACACTGTGAAAGGTACATCAAGCACTAATGATATACTCTTGAAAACACACCAATGAAGTCGAACATTGTAGAGTATGTTGTTCCTGAACGTCAGAAGACTGCTTCCTGACAAGCTTTTTCCTGCGAATATGTCATGACCCCAGTGTGTAGCTCAGAGCAAAGAAAAGGCCGACTCTTACAGCATCTTACACTGAAGCTGTTTGCTCCAATAAAAAGAAACAAATGAAAGTACTAAAATTGCACTTACCTGCTCAACTTCTCCAAGAGTGACTGGCTGAGTCTGGTAACGAGCATTCATTCTCCTGTGCCTAATATCTCCTCGACTCCTTGTGGAGATGGCCCTGGATACTGGTTGAGACAGTTTATTAAACAAAGCCATCTTTTCTGCCAAACTTAAGGTGGAAGAATCTGGTTCCTCAGACTGATCTTGCCCCATCGCCTCTTTGGCTGCTCTTATCTCCTCTTTAGCTAAAATTTTTTGGTGTGCTGATGCCTGCAAGCTGAAGAAACAGAACAGGAAATGAGTTTTGAAGACGACATGATGAAGTTTTAAAATCTCAGCCTGACAGGAGCAGAAGAACTGTACATGAAGCACAATAGCCAATGTAATATAGCAGCCTAAGTGGTTATGCAGTGGTTCAACATTGGCATGATGAATTCTAATTCAACAACTGAAGATTTAAAAGAAGTTAAATTTTCATTCACAAATTCATTTGATAGAGGCAAAACAATTTTTTAAAAGGGGAACTCAAGATTGAAGAGACACTTTTCTGATCAATCACTTTATACAGAATACAGAGCTCTGGAGAGACATTTAAGATGCCTGCTGTAGAACAAACAGGGGTCCTACAGTGCAATTTACGTAACATTCAATTTTATTAGATATAATTTGTGAAGCATATATGATAAAAACATTTAAAAGACAGATTTAAGCTCCCAGTTAGTGCTGCTTTTAGGTTAGCATAAATTGTAACGCCTCTTATAATCTAAGCGGAACAGAATTCAGACTGTCTTTTGTTTTGAGTTATCTGGAGTAACTCAACAATAAAGAATGGTTCTGAAATATACTCCATTAATTTTGAAGATTGTTTGACCAATGCTGAAGGCAGACACATTCATAAAAGCTGAAACTGCATTTGTCTCTACAATAATATATTTTATTCACCTCTAGCTAGATTCAGCCACATTTATGGAATTAATAGTATTCCTTTTTTTTTTTTTTCTAATGGTCTTTGCTAAAATTCTTTCATTCAGAACAGCCAAACAGTATTCTGCAACTTTACCTATAGGTGGTGCAATTTCTTATCTTTCCTTTAATTTTGCAAGCTAAAAAAAAAATATATGTAGAGACACAGAAAGAGGATATGTACTGCTTGTGAAATCGAGCACCCAGCTTTGGTATTTTCATCTCAAGATGACGTTACTGTATAAAAAAAAAAGTACAAGAGCAAAGAGGGTTCTGCTAGGTTTGCTCACATGCAAATTTATTTCTTTCACAAAGAAGAAGAATACGCTTCTAGAACAGGTAAGTGTGGTTAGAAAGGGCCTGAAAACAGATGCTTGACAAAAAGAAAAAGAAGCTGCATTGTTTTTATCATGCAAACATAAATGAAGTTGATGAATGTTTTAAATATTCTTGACACCAGTACTGACTTGACACATTGAAAAGGCATTCAAGACTTTAAAGATGCATCTGCTATTGAGGAATCTTGTGCTCCATGTAACATGCATGTTTATCCCCCCCAGTACCTGATAGGTTGTACAGTGCTCTTAACTACAGTGGGACTAGGTACTCTTGTCACTACTGTGTGGGTATTCACAGAACGTGAAGCAGGGGTAGATTCACTTTAAAGAATTGCCAAGGAGGGAAAATTCACAGGGAGAGAGAAGAAAAAAGCATTAAGAAAAGCAATACATTAAGCGTTAACTACAGAAAAGACCAAAACCAAACCAAAACAAAACAGAAAAAACAAACAGCAATGATTTTGAATTAACTGAGTTATCTGCTGCAACCTTCGCAAAGTAACTTCAAATACTTTGAAAGAACTAAAAACCTAGAGAAGCAAACAGGTTGTCTCTTGAAGTTACTCATCACCAATAACATAAGCTACCTTTTAGTAGATCACTAGCTGAACGTTCTTTCACCATTGTTTAATTTTCCCCCAAAATGACTTTCCTTTTTTCAGGAAAATTTCATGATGTATGACCAGAGGGCAAGAAATGCGTTTCCAAAAGGTACATTTGAGATTTCAGTGTAAAAGGCTTTCTCCAATACAAATACATTCTGTAAGAAATTATGCAGATTTCCCTCAGTGCAAAGTATCTTTTTCATTTGAGTTGCAAACCAATGCTATGATTAATCCTGTTTACCTAATCTACAGGTTCATAAGATTTCTGCCAAATTACAGGTCATACAAGTTATGCTTTACTCTTTACTCTACTTCTAAAAAGGAATTTCAATAGTTTCCCCTGTGGTTCTCAAGGAAGTTGGCCCTTAACAATAAATGTTTTCCTTGCTATAAAGTTGTAAACACCACATACATGGAACTTATTCCCAGATTAAAAGAAGGAACCAAAGTTAGAGCCAACATATGTACAAGACTTACGTAGCTGCAATGACCACTTCCTCACTGGTAATTGGTTGTGTGTGTGATCTATCCTGCAAACGCCGCAGTCTTCTCTCTACTGCTGAACTTCTTGTAGGTGGTTTAGGAATATTTTTCATTTCAAATGATTTTTCCATTTCCTAAGAGGACATATGTCATAATTAAAACCACAGAAGAAAAGCTGTAAACCAGTATTTTCTTTTTAGCTTTCTTGCATGTAAAGTAGTAAATTTCCCAAATACCCATCTCTGAATTAGAAGCAGGATATAATTGCACAGTAGGCATCACGGAGTTAAAACTAACTACACATTTCTCTAAATGAGTAAGTAAAAAAAAAAAGTTATGTAGCTTGGACTTGGTTAACTGCATTACACTTCATTCTAATGCACTTCAGGTTCTTCAGCATCTTGTATATGAAAAGTTTAACTCAGCCTTCTATTAAGAAAATGTAATACTTACTCTAAAAAGCAGCCTCTTTGCAGCTACACTTAGTTTGGCTCGGTCGTCCAATTTTTCTTCGTCTACACAAAGGAAAAAAAAAAAAGAAAGGAGGCTGAGCGTAACAAATCAAGCTCATATTAAGGGCAAGGGTTCGTTTTGGTTTTTTTACTAAATGATTTCTGAAGTCCTCAAAAATTAAGTTTTATTAAGACAAGAAGCACCACCAGCAAATAAGCTGGCTGTTACGCCCTTTAACAAAAGACTTAATCGTGAACCAACTTATGTAAACTTTACTTGTATTTACATGTATTGCATCACAGGAAAATTCTTAACAGGAATTGAGAACAAAAGACTTGTGTCCAGGACAGTCCATGTGCTTTCAAGTTATCCAAACAATATTTTATGAATAACCAAACTTGTTATATTCGATAACATATGATAACACATGGACTAAGAAAATAATTAGACTGAAAGACTGTCTTATGAGTCAGTATTCATCCTGCTATAAAGAACATCTATTTTCTACTAGTTGACCATACAAGATGGTCTCTCCTGGAAGCTGGTCATTCTGGTTACCACATTGTGCACCCATTTTTCAGAGGCTCAACTGGTATCCTTAGGAGCCAAGATCAGCATCTTCCAGATCCAAAAGCCAGCATCTCAAAGCTGCAGAGAATATCAGCTTTCAAATAGCATAAGGCATTAAACCTAAATTTAGCTACTCATGAGAT